CAGCTTCTTTCTGTTTCTTCAATTCTTCGTATTCTTTAATCTTGCTCATACTCTGGTGAATTTTGTTTCTCAACAGACCAAACTCCTCCCGATGGCTTTTAAGAGCTTCCATCGATTCATTTCTTGCGTTGTTAACTTCTATAAGTTTTTCCTCGGCTTCCTGTTAAAACAAAACGCATGCGAATCTTTCTAAAGCGTTACTTCATTCCGGCAACTCTCCCCTTACATGTATGTCTTCAAGAGAAACTTCTCCTAAACAGCTATTGCAAATAAAGTTTGTCCTAACACAATAAATCAATTGTTATCCGACCACAGTAACAGAATTAAGGCGGGTTTGATTTCAGTAGTCGTCGACTATACCTTAGAATACCATATGAATGCTTTCTACGTTACCAGTATTTGTGAAAAAGTAAAAAAGTTTAAGAGAAAATCTTATAATTAATTCTTTTGAAATGTACTTTAGTATCTTTTAAACATTAAATGGAGTTAGCAACTTTTTTATCACGAATGCACAAACTAAAGCTCTGACCTGAACATTAAGATCCTGGATTCTTCTCTGTTCTTCTTTTCTCTGTGAAAGCCTCTCAGCTTCAAGTTTTCCTTTCTTGATGTTTTCTTCAATTTCTTTTAGTTCTGTCCTGAGTTTGTTTATCTTACTGTTCAGTTCATGGAATTGTATCATTTGAGTTTGAAGTTCATTCCTTGTTCTGGCAAGCTGCGTGGTTTTTTCTTCCAAAGCTTTTTCACCCTCCTTTAACGCTCTGACGTACTTATCTGACTGATGTCTCTCTTCTGTTTCTGTTTGCGCTATCAGCTTCTGTAGTTCCTCTATCCTGTCGATTGATCAAACATAAATTCACATAAAAAAGATAATTAATCCCTTACTTTTGTAGTATTCACATCTGTTCCATTATTCAGAAGAATATCAAAATTCAGTAACGAAATTTTAAGCTACTCAAACATTTTAGTTGTCTGTTAGAGAAATTTTTAATAGACAGTCGATAGTAATGTGAGACTGCTTTGTTTTTTTAATTACTTCGCTCACACTACTCTTTCAACCAATCAGATACTAAAACCAATCACGACTTAGTCTTTCGCTTCTTCCCGCGCCTTAGGCAGTTTGGTCGGTTTTACTTTGAGTAATCATTGGCTCTTAAAGGTATTTTCCTTTCATCCGATTGCATAGCCGTTGTGTTCACTTTAGTTCTAGCTCTACGAAACTCAATCGAAAAGCGCTCAAATTTGTAACTCCAAATGAAAATCAAGTTACGTAAAGGCTCAAAAAAGGCACGTGCTGGTTGTGAAATGAGCCATGCGCTCAACACTGCTGGTGTTTCATCAAGCGATTTGTTTTATCGACAGGTTAAAATCAAACCTGAGTGAAAGTTGAGTTCTTGTTTCCACGTCTTTCAACACACTCTCTTTCTTTTCAAGATCTTCCATTTTACTTGCTAGTTCCTTGTTCAGTTTATCAATATTGTGTCGAACGATAGCGCACGAGTTCTCAGTTTCCTTTAACTCTCGTTCTTTGGCTTCGATAGCCTTCGAAAAGAAGATGAAACATTAGTAATCAACTTTAAGATGGTATACACATAACATCATTAATTGGACAGTACCGTACAGCAACTCATAGAAATTTATATAGCAGTGTTAAAATGACCGCGTTACGGTGAGGTATTACAACTCTAAAAGACAGTTAAGAATGAAATCTTTATATATCGTCCACTTTGGTATGTTGATTACAGAAATAAAACCTTCTATTAAAACGAATTTATCTTGAATGCATAAACGTAGAATAATGTATATCATTGATAAAGTTGAACGAAATATTCGTGGCTGTATCTCACTTTGTTTATTTGTTTTTGTTGTTCATTCAGAGCCTTTTCTTTAATCTCCAAGTTAATCAGCTGATTTCCTGCGCGGATTAACTCGACCGAGGTCTCCGCTGCGCGTTGCTCAATAATACCAGCATCCTCTTCTGCCCGCCTCAGGCGTCCCTCGGCCATCTTACGCTAACGGAGAAATGAAGACGGTCGGCTGGCGAACTTTGCAAAGACAATAAAAAAGGCAAACAAACAACGACGGCAAAAGCAATACAAAACAACTGACACACTTTTTGCACAACGTCGTCCAGTTCGCGCCTTCGCTCCATCAGTACAGCGTCCATCTGTTGTAGTTCTGTTTTCCTTTTCTGCAGCAGACCTTCAAATCGAGCCAGGTCACTCAGCCGCTTTTCCCAGGATGCCTCTTGGGTGTTATCATCCATTTGATTAACGGACGACAACTGAACAGGCTCCATTTCAACGCCAGAGCTGAATTACGAATATTTGACAAATCAGGTTGATAAGAATAACATGGAAAGTTGGGAACGTCACAAGTTTATTTTCCACCTATGAAAAGCAGATTTCATGACAAGGTGCGTTGTTGATTGCACGACAGCCAATCGAACCTCCATGTTAGAGATTAATCAGGAGAAACTTTTAGGCAACGTACTATTGAACTCTCTACTCTGGATCCCTACGCCAAAACGCATCTCCAATCCTGGAGTTACCTTGAGGACAATGTGATAATTTCGTGTTTCTGAACCAGAGACACAGATGCTGGAGCTGCATAGACATTGGGTGTATTTCAGAGAGCTCCCATCAATCTTTTATTTCCAGCAACTTCGAAATTAATAGATCACTTGTGGATAGAAATAGGAGAGATGGCAAGACGAAAAAACGTCTTTCTCGAATAGATCACTTGTAAATAACACTTGCCTTTGCTGAAGATATTTTAGTGGGAAGTTTTCTTCATCTTCTTCGTCCACAGTTCTCATAATGTAAACTCTCCTAGTTCCTGCCTGGGAGAAGTGTTTAAGTCGGATGAAATAAATTATTAGGAACATGGAAAAACCGTCTTCATTCCTACTACAGCTAAATTTAACTTTCGCATTTGAAGCTTATAATTGACATCAATCACTGGAAAGTTAAAGCAATCCAAATTAAATTTGCAAGAATATACTTTTTCGCATTTGAAGCTTACCATTGACATTTATAACGGGAAATGTAAAGGAACCCAAATCAAAGTGCAATAAACAATTTAATTCTGTCCATTCAGCGGTTTATAAGGTAAAGTTTATGAACCAATTGTCTATATGTCAGTGTATTTTTTGTTTTAAATAAACGAAAATTATAATACTATCGGACTTTGCAATATTTGCTTGAATATACTTTTTTAGTTGCGTTAAGGGAAAGCAAGTGTCCTCATTCAATTTAATTTTGGGAAGTGTTTTGTCATAAATAACGGCACTTTGGGTGCAACGTGGAAATCGCAGGCTATTTCTTGGTCACATTCGGTCACTGAAAGTGGAAGGAGTTCATCATAGTTATGGTTGCATCTTACATTTGGGAAAGGTGTGATCTCTTTAAGAGGATAAAAAATGACGAAATACCCCACTCACAAAGATAGACACACGGAGACATGGTCGAGGGTCAGATATCCTCTACTACCCTATGATTGCTGACCGGTTTGATTGTTAGGACACAAAACTTGTAATGTAAAAATCCTGACTTAATTTAGGAAAAAGGTTCCTTTTTGAGATATACCAGAGGGCCAGCCCTAGCTTAGAAGCTTGTTGTCAAAACCAAAATAAGGTCAGACACAACATTTTCATACGAAAGGCAATTTATTTGGATATCCTAAAAAAATTACATTTTCGACTGATATGTACAACAATATAAATATTACTGTGTTGCTTTCAACACTGGGAAACACGCAAGCAAAATTATTTGAATACAAACAAAATATAATTGTTCAAGCAACTAAGAAAAGGCTGGCTTTCTGATTTTGTTTCTTGCAATACACTGCATTTTCATCAACCCTGCAATGAGCGTAAATAAACTGCTATCACGTGCAAACTGATAAGTGAGAATTCATGCCAAAAAAAAGAACATGATTCAATATGCCTCGAAGATTAACAAGGTCACTTGGAAAAAAACTGCAAAAGAACAAATTGCATAAAAAAGACAGAACATCGAGTGGTCACGCCATGAAAAAAACTCTAGAGGAACGTTATTCAACTAATTTCTGTGTGTCATTGATGAATGTCAGAGCCAACCTTTTCTTGCATTAGAACTGTTTACAACTAGCATTTATAGCATAGGATTTATTTGTTTCGCCTTTTTTGTCTGAACATAAAATTTTGGGTCATTGGAATCTACTTTCACACTCGCAAAAGACTTGAAAGCGTCCAAAAATTATATTAAACAAGTATAAATAACGCTAAAGGTTGGGCTTGTGTTAATAACCGCAAACACGATACCTCCTGTTGAGTTGTTTGATGCTTTCTTTGAGTTTCAACAAACGGCAGCAAGTTTAAATAAACATTCCGAAAACTAAACTGCCGCCTTGGCTCCCGGCCGCCAATGAACATTCTAAAAATCCCTTTTCAAACATATCGTGTTTGCTTTTGTATAATTAAGAAATGTGTTACTGTCACCCAAAGTAAACAGAGGTAGTTTTGAAATTTTACCAGTTTGAAAATCGACGAGCTGTTGATATCATTGGGCAAATTTTAAAAACTCTCTTTTTCATTGTGAGCAGGACATTAAAAGAAATTTATAAAACAAAAATTTTCAACAAAAAAATTAAACCTGTTAAATCGGCTGGACGTACTTCTTAATAGATAACTGTCCTTAAAATTAGTTTACGTTAGATGACGAAGATAAACGAGATCTGTGATCAACAACAGTCAAAAGATGATCCTGGAGTCTCTAAAATGAGAAACACAGACGTCCACAATGATAAACAGTTAGTGTATTTTTAACATAACTCAATTAAGAACTCAACTATTTTACCGTAATCAAGAAAATTAAGGCTGCCATGGCCTTTACGATACACATTTTTTTTATTCTATAAATGCAAAGCTTTGGAAAATATCAAGGACAGATCATGTAAAAAATTAAGATACAAACAACGAACAAATCGTAATAATGGTCTGTGTCATGGTATTAAGTTCAAGTAGCAAAATTATCATTAATCCTTGTCAGCGGTTACATAATACAAAGAGAAATTGAACCCTAAATTTAAAAGAATCGAATTTAAAACAAGTAACAACACAGGAATTTTCATTGAACACTTCCCGCCTAAAATTTCTCCTAAATAAAACAGAAAGATAAAAGACTGCGAAAATTGTCCTCTTAAAGAGTGGCAAAAATTGAGCGACTAATTTCGAGGATAATTGAAGAAAATATTCCACTTATATTGTAAATTATGACAAAAATCGACTTACCGCTAGGTTCGCATCTAATGAATGTCGTTGTGATTGTCTAGCAGTCGCTCGTCGTTTTAAGGAATCTTCCACCTTTCAACAAGAAAACAAATGTGTTTTTAGAGTTGGATGTAATGAACAAAACTGACGACTTGAGCACCTTTCTGGATTTCTGCGAGTGAGTAAAACTTGAATCATCTGTGGAAGCCTGCAAATGGCGGTTACGGGTTCTCGTGTTGAAGAGTCGTTTCGAATTTTTTAACGTAGTAAAACAATGAACAGGGAGGTCGTTTGTTAAATGTAGAACTAAAGGATTCGTTTAAAGCAGCATAAACAAAGCAAGGATTTACACGCGATTCATATTAAACACACATTTTTCATCCTATGGGACAAATTGCCGCGTTATTCAATTGCAGTTCAATAAAACAATGAAACCATCAACCCACCTCGTGTTCCAATTCTTTCAAATCCATTCGAAGCGAGTCCCGTTGATCCTGAATTGAAAAAGAAATAATTTATACTGTAATTACTCTCTCCTTAATTATACAAAAGTAAGCCCTAAACAAATACAGTTCCCCAGCGAAAATACCTTTCTTTTTCTCACTGGAAATCGGACGTTCAATTGATTGTCTGAGCCATAAGCTGCCTTTGACATTCTATTGAAACAACTTTTACGGTTGAAATACCTTCATCTATAAAGCCGCTAACGTTTGAAATATTGAAATCTAACGAAAGGTTTCACTGAAAGTCACGACATTTTTCCAAAGGCGAACGATTTGGACTCTACAGCACTAAATCGCTAATAAATGGTGGAAGCAGTTCACGGACTCACTACCGAAACATATGAAGTGACAGTTACTGCTAAAAAAAAAGGTAATTTGAGTTGATTTACACTGCATATAATTAATCATTCTGTTCCAATCACAGCACGTAGGTTAAATCAATATTTGTTCTAAATGCCATTCTCTCGAAGCTATCACTGAAAGCTTGGGGCCTTTGTCACTTAAATGATGAAAACGCATGGGCCGTTAAATCTTCTGTAGGGAATGGGTAATTAAGAATAGAGATGATTTTAATTGTTTTCGGTACTTGATTCTTATACTTTAAACGGTTCTTGAGGTTCTAAAACATGAAAAACAATTGGCCACAAGAAATAATAATAGGAAGGATAATTACAGCTCTTCTTTGGCACAAGGCTGAAGTATGAAGGTGAGATTTCGTCTTTTCTTTGTTACAAGGTGGGAACAGAATACTGAATCGTCTCCACAAAATGACTGTTGTCCACATATTTTATGCCAGAACAAAGACGTTAAATTCGTAGATTGTCTCTACAAAGGATGCTAGCAAACGAGAAATTGATGAGGGATATTTGTAGAGGAAATTTAAGGTAGAAAAATTCCATCCCTCAACAGGGAGGAATCAATACTTAATACAAAACGTAATACACGCCGTGTATGGAAGCTCAAAAAGAGACGAAAAATTTGAGAAAAACGAGCTTAATTCAAACTACTATACCTGAAGTTTCTGCGCCTGCTGCGACGAAGTCAAAAGACCTTCCAATCTCCCACATTCGTACTCCTACAGGGAAAATGAAAGAGCGATCAAAACCATGACAAACTAATAAAAAGCAAGTTCTGTATACAACTGAAGCAAAAAAAACATATATAAAAGTTGTAATTTTAAGTCCTTCAATCGAACGCAACTAGTAACTCACTGTAAGTATAGATTTCCGTACAATAACAATCCCTTTTTTTAATTTGATCACAAGGATTCTCGTGCTTGAAAAGCCGAAAACATCACGTAAGCAAAACGCACTGAAAAATACAACTTGTACAAGCTTCCATTTCCTCCTAATAAAGGGATTCTAACTCAAAGGGGAAATGTCAATGTTTCCACATCTTCATCAATTTAGCAAGAATTTTGAAAGTCTTCCTTTGCAATTTGTGTTAATCTTCACCCTTCATGTCCGTTCTTACCTTTTTCATTTCCTCTCTCGCGTTTTTTCGTTTTTTTTCTAAATTTAACCGAACGAATAATTTCACGAAAACAATGATGTGAGTTCTAAAAAAACATACAGAAACGTGCTACACATTGACGCTGGCTACACAGTGACGCTGGCTACACATTGACGCTGGCTACACATTGACGCTGACTACACATTTAACGAAACTTCTGCTAAGAAAATGGCGACCAGTAAAATGTAAAAAAAAAAAGAAATATACGTGCAAAGGAGAAGATAGCAGGTTGTGTTTGTGTTTGTGTTTGTGTTTGTGTTTGTGTTTGTGTTTGTGTTTGTGTTTGTGTTTAAGTACGTGAAAACAGACTTATGTTAGTAGAGTAGGTGCAATAGTGAACAACTCACCAGGCCTTCGTGATTTGGAAAATTACAAAATAGTACTTCATCTTGTGGTTTTTTGGTTTTCCTTTTCTTTTTCTTCCTCGCGTCACCATTTCCCCCAGTGACGTCATTGTAATGATGATGGTGGACAGGTGATGTGACAGGGTCTGCTACTGTGCTAGCTGTTACCACCTCAGGGGAGAGGTGTGAGGAAGTTGTCACTGTCAATGGTTTTACCCTACCTGCCGAATAATGTAGATATGCATATTAAAGCAGTGGAAATTACAACATTGATTGTATTACTAAAACAGCTAAATACAATGTGAACAATTGCTTAATTACACGAAAAAAAATACTGCCAAACTAAAGGAAGCTACAATAAACTGTACCCAACAGGTTCATTAGAATTATTTTATAGTAATAGAAAACCCCAATAAAAAAACAGACAAGATGTCAGGCCAGACAAAGAAGCTTTTTCTATGTAATATTCCGACTGGGCACTTATAGAGCAGAATGCATTTGTACCTCGACCAGTTGACTGTGAAAAATAATGATGGTGATGAACTTGTCCGGGATAGGCCACATAGCTGTTTGTACCCAGGCCACTAGTGGTTGTAACCATGGGAGTCATGACGGGTGCTGATCGAGAGATAGTTACTACATTTGATGGTCCCTCAACAACAGCTGGGGCCACCCCGCTCACTGGTAAGTACGTCTGCGTTGTTGTTAACCCAGACGTGGTTATCAAGCCGGAAGTGGTAAACGGTGGATTCATGTGCCCAGGCGTGGTAACCAAGCCGGAAGTGGTGAAGGGTGGACTCGCCGGAAGTGGTATTGGTCGAGTGAGGCTCTGTACTTGTTGCTCTCTTTGTAACAAAGCTGCTCGCAGAGCCTCGACTTCGTTTGCTAAGGCGGAAAGGCTGAGGTCTGAAGTTATAGGAAGCAAACTGGTAAAATCAGTCGAGAAAAGTTTGAAGACTCAAATAAATAACGCAACACTGAGAAACAACACGAGCCTGGAAACGATTTAAAACCCCACGACTTGCGGTCACTTGCGAGTTCACAAATTTAAATGGCACTTATCATAAAATTCATTTGAAAGAAGGAAAGTGAATATTTTCTGAGAAAAACTAACCCGGATGATGATAGTATTGCAGTTGGACTGGGGCACGTGACATCTCCAACAAATCGTCCTTCAGTCGTTCTAGTTCCTGGTTCTGTTCGGCCAAAGCTGATGCCAAGTTTTTAATCGCTGCTCGCTGAGCAGCTGTTAGCATGATAAAACAAATAAACAGAGTTCAACATTTAGAAAGAATTTTCACCCCCTACACAAGGAAAAATTTACTCTGTTCGAAACTTTGTTCCACAGTTCCACAGTAAAAAGTGAAAAAAAGAGGCTTAAGAAACGACTTTCACATGTCTCTTCTACGCACAGAAGTCGAAGTTAAGGCAAGTAATCTGACTCAAGCGCGTCAAAATGCGACTGAGTTGTATCGATTGGTTTTACATTATTTTAGCATCCTTTAAGTGTTCTCTCTAGAAAATAGATGAATCTACGAATGCTCACCTATGTCGGCTGAATTTTGCGTCCCACGTTTCAGTTCCTCTTGAAGCTGCCTGTCTTTCGAATCGAGCATAGATTGAAGTGAAGCAACCTACAAAAACCAAGAAGAAATCTTCTCGTTGTTCTTTAAATGCTGTGTTCAACAAAGATTGCGACAAAACTAACGACGAAGAAAGACCAAATCGCTTATGAGAGACATATCAGTAAAATATAATCAATATTTCCACCATGTTTTTTATCAATATTCATTTTTTTTTAAACGCTTTTTTTTTTTTTTAAATTTGTGAAAAATTGCACGACAAAATAAAACCAACAGTTTCATCGCTTCTAAAACAAAGTCATCTCAGACGCAACTGGTGTCAAACGAGACGATTTGTGTCTTTGCAGCCATTAAGCTGTCTTCGAAATTGCGAGACAAAGTCAAACTTATTAATCATCAGCGTAACTTACATGAACGTCGCTACACGAAAAATAAACGTTGCATGAAAATTTCTCTGAGTAACATCAGCAATTTCTTGACTTTAATGATTTAAATATAAGTACAAACAAGTTGATTGGCGGGTAAACCTGTTGTTGTGCATCAGCCAGCTGTTTATCAGCCGCTGCTTGTATCGCAGCTCTCATTCGCTCCGCTTTAACAGCTTCAAGTTCCTTGTCTAACTTATCCTGAAGAAAAAATGACCAGAAAAATACAGATAGGCATGTTTGTTTCGTTATATGTACATCGAGGGGCCAATAAATAAAAATTGCTGATAAAAATTTATTACAGAGATGAAGCAGAGAAATAAATCAGAGCAAAACAAATCCAGAGAGGGGAAAAGGAGAGAACTGAAACTACGAATAACAAACTTTGACTGAGCGCCATAACAATCTGTCTACGCAACCCTGTTGCACAATGGATGTGCATTCTGACGAGTCCCAAATTGCGAACTGGTCGCCAATGTCACAGTTGGTAGACTGTTGCCAACTAGAATTTTAACGCTAATCACCGGCTGTATCTCCATGTAAACCAGCGCTCGTTCTTGAGCCGGAGTGCGTTTTTAACGGAGAACCATCTTTCAGACTTTGTGTTTTTTTTCACGGGCAGGTGTCTAATAGTTCTAAGAATTAGCGACCAAATTGTTCTATCTGGTAATTGGAGCAAAAGCTTAATTTCGAGCCTTTACCAGTTGATATAAATATTTCGTCAAAATTTGACAAATGCAGAATTTTTGACGTAAAAAATAATGATTTTTGTTTCAATCGTTTATTACCTTTAATGCCTTTGTTTCGGCATCTTTCAGAGTGTTTCTCAGACCCTCAATCTGGTTCTCCAAGTCCCAAAGCCTGGCTTGTTGTTCCTGACTTTGGTCATTGGATCTCTAGAAACAAACAACGAAAAAACAAACAACAGTTGAGGATCACGCCAGAAAAGGGCATTTAGGCAGACTTATAACTTAAGGGATTTTATACCAGTGATGGTACGATGATTATAATTTATCGTGTTTACATTTGACCACGGGGAAAAGGAGCCGCAGTTTGCCGTCACTTACAGGCCATCATCGGGTCATAATTTAATTTAGTGCTGATCAATAAAATTCTCAATATAGGACAGTATAAATGATCTCTCGTATTTTTATCATCATAATACAGCAAGCCTGCGAGTTAAACTAAACATAGCTACATCGTATTAGGGTGCCCTGTATTAGTCAGCCAAATACCTTCAACTTAGCTTCAGTTTCTCCCAGCAGACTCTGTAGCCCTGCTTCTTTACTTTCAGCTCTTCTAAGCTATAAAACCAAAGCACAAAAACATTAACTACTTTAAACATTATAGAGGATACTTAAATCAATACTAAATTTCAAGACGAAATAAAAATGCAATGATAAGACTCAGTATTTTCGGCATCCTACACGTGTTATATCGCTTTCAGAAATCGAAACGCCATTATAATTTAGCCGACTAAGTAAAGTCTTATTTGTGCTTTGCAATGAACACATGCACAAAATTCTTGTTTTTCATTGTTTCCACCACACTCTTTACTTCTACTGAAATAAACTCTAAAGCGGCGTTTCACGAGGGAACATGTAAGGTTTTGCAAATGTTCATCAGCATTCAAGATCGGAAGCCTCGGTATTCTAAAGTACAGTATTTGTTGTTGCTCAATTTTTATTTCCAGAATCAAAGTAATTTATGTTCAAGTTCGCGAGAACTCAAATTCCTTCACAGTAATCAACTCCATTACTTACCTCTAGTCTGGCATTCACATGCGCAATTAATAAAGGCGGGTAATAAAACACAGATGTTTTTTTCGATTTTATTTATGTTATTCATGGTCAAGGTTCCAAGAACACAAATTCTATCTTTAAAAAGCTGCTTTCATATCTGAAATTAGCGACATAGGTGGTAACAAGCATCTGCCTGTATCAAGCGCGCTCTTTATTATGCGTTATCTGTGAGGTCGACAAAAGTCGCCTCATAAGCGACTTTCTCTGTAAACTAGATCGCCAACCTCTTCTCTTCTTGCCCCGACGAGCAGAATAGTCCCAGCTTGGATTTCTACAAGGTTATAGTGGTACGATCATCAAATTAAACAATAAATTTCACTTGAAGACTTCATTACCTGTGCGTCAGCTCGAGCCCGATCGTCTTCTAGCTGATGTCGCAAATCAGCCATCTTTTTTTCCAGATGGTGAATCTTTCTTTCGCCAGCATCTCTTATTTCGTCCAACTGCCGGCAAAAATGATGGCACTATAGTTTATCCATGTAGTTTGCGAGATGAAATGAATCGATCCCCTGATAAGAACGTACCCTTACCCTGCTCTTTTGAGTCTAATTGTCAACAATTAAATATTATTTTCTGTTTCCTCATCATCCATAACTTTCATAATGAACTTAAAAAATGGATGGCTTGATTTTTCTTTGGAATTAATTCCATAGAAGCATTACCTCACGTCCAGCCTTGTGCTTCAGATTTTTAAGTCGTTCCTTTAAATCGTCAATTTCGTCCTCCAAACCGCCGATCTTTGCAGCCGCATTCTTTTTTTCTGCTTGCAGCTGTAGTATAAACGAAAAGAATAAAAATATGAGAATTAATGCCATGATATCATGCTAATGTATGAATCACTCATGATCGTGGTTCCCTTAACAAAATTTTGAAGTCAAGGATTACAGCTCTTTGCATTCAAGTGTCGTCACAACAGAACCAAATCATCGACAACGATCAATCAGAACAAAGGTCAACGAAATAATTCAGCCTTATTGGTCGCGTTACTCGGGTTTTCTTGACCAAACCTACCCAAATAGAAGAATTAAGAAAAAATTAAAACGCCAACCTTTTCATCCGCTTGAGCTCGCAGTGAATTCAACCGACTCCGGGCTCTTTCGAGTTCGTTCTCAAGAGCTTTCACTTTAGCTTCTAAAGCTTGCTTTTGCCGCTCGCATCTCTCATTCTGTGGAGAAATAGCGTATTACCTAATTTTATCAAAAACCTCGCATAAGTGGAGGTAAATTATCGCTTACTTTTATTTAGCGTAAAATCGAAACAAAACAAGAAACAGCAAAATAATGGCAAACAGTTTGGCTATTAATTAAAAGTCTCCCCTGTGTATGTGTGCCTCTGAATAATATAGTTTACAATTGATGAAAGTTACTACTCTTTAACTTCTAAATGATCACATACTTGAAATTCACAAAATTATGCATAAGCAGTCACGTGAACACTCACCATTGCCTCAGCTTGTGCCCGGGCCTCCCTCAGTTTGTTCATCATATCTGCCAGTCTGTCCTCTAGCTCTATTCTACCTTGTTCAGCTTCTGCGATGGCTCCTTTCAGCTAGAGGTATAAAATCCACAGCAAATTTTTACACATTCCTAAACGTATCCTTTCATTTCCGTAAAACTGACTTACAGGAGACTAAAGGTACTCTGATAACCTCTGAATCAGACAAGCATCATACCCGCTCATTTTCTGCTTTCACTTTGTTAAATTTGTCCTGTAGATGTTCCATGTCGTCTTTCATGTCTGCTATCTTGGCTTGAAGTGGAGCTCTGGCGCTGGCCAACTGAAGATAAGATTCACGTGTTAAGATATCACTTAGAAGAAGAGTTGACCACAATGCAATCAAAAGAAATAAAGGATTATCAAAACAATGTTGGCATGAATTAAAAATGGCTTTAAACAGAGGAAGATCCCTCATAAACTCATGCACCAAGAGAAAATAGAAGATTACATGATCCTGCAAGCCATATCTAGCTTTGTCAAGCTGATCCTTTAACTGAGCTATTTGTTTCTCCAGTCCAGACATCTCTTTAGCATGTTTTGCTTTCTCTCTTTCAATCTGTACAAGAAAAGAACCTGGATAAGCATTACAGAACATTTTACCCTTTCTCAACTTGATAATAAATACAAAAATGTTCTTAATTAAATCAGGTTTGAGTAGCTCTAAATGTTGGTCGCACGAAGAATTGTTCCGCACCGAAAAAAAGATAGATGTAACCAAATCAGTTGCAAACTCATAAAAATAAATGGGGCTGAACCTGTGACTTGAAGATATGAGCTTCGCGCCTCTACCAACAAAACCACTTTCTGGTAAGGACGGGTTATCGTTTGCAAATGTTCATCAGCATTCAAGATCGGAAGCCTCGCTATACTAAAGTACAGCATTTGTTGTTGCTCAATTTTTATTTCCAGAATCAAAGTGATTTTCAACATAAGTTGACGCGCACGTGTTTAAACTGGTCTTGTTCATGCAGCTCAACAATATTTGAGTGTGGTCAAGAGAAAATCAACCTGGAGAATTAAAGGCCTGATTCAAAAGTAATCCTCCTCGTCAAGTTCTTTGTAGACTCCAGCATCGGATCTCAGGGAATAATTTTACACGCAAAACGCGTGCGGCTTGGTTGAATTATCTCTCTCCAATTACCTCTCAGCAATTATCTCTCTCCGTGAGTGAACTTCGTATTGAAACTGGTTGTTTTGGTTGAGAACTCAGAAAGCGGGAGTGTTCTCCATGTAAAAACAAAAACCTCTAGAAAATTTTTTTGGGAAGAAGATTGAATGTCTCAGTTCGATTCTCTTTTACAGTAACAACTCAGTAAATTCTGGCCAAAGGCATGCTAATCACATTTTCCATTCATAATCCTGTCTAAGAAATATTGAAACAAACCTCATCCTCCATTCTCTCTTGTCTTGCAAGTTTGTCTTTCAGTTTCTTTAGTTCGTCTGACATTCTTCTTAACTTGTTGTCTCTATCTTCTTTGTCTCCTGCAAGCTGAGCAATCAAAACAAATGTTTTGTTCTTCATTTCATCCATAGGAGTGCGTAACATGAGAGACCCAACATAGTCTAAAAATTGGCGACGACATGACAAGCGATGCTGCTGGTACAAACTGAACGAACAGCGCACTCTGTTGGGCTACGTTCAAATAACTGTGGCTATTCTCCATCACTTGTTTGTGGTCATGTACTTCTCGTTATTGTAAAAACGAACTGCAAACTGTTGAGAATTACTCAACAGTAAGCGCACATATTTATGTTTACCTGTGAAGCTTTGTCCCTTGCTTGCTTCAGAGCTCTTTCGGCATCTTGTAGTCTAGCCTGTAAACCTTCAACCTCTCCATCAGGCTACCAAAAGAAACAATTCAATCATAATCTGGACAAATCAGAATCACGGTCACAGTTAGTACATCTTTAAAATTGCAGCCCGACTTTTAAAAGGACTCCGTTTGCAATTTGTTAATCTCCTTTATCTATGACTATCATTGTTCCTTTTGGCTTCAGTGTTTGCCTTTCCCTACAAAGTTTTCTCCCACCTAACGGAAAAATTCTAGCAGGTAGTGACTTCCTTTCTCTACAAAAGGTTACACAGACGCGCACGCCCGTGCATCTTGTGGATTTCTCATTGGGTTTCCAACGTGATGTGTTAGAGATACGCAAGAATTTATCTAATATAACTCATCTGATCCCTTTATTTTAGAATAAAAAAGGTGCAAACCTGTTTTCGTCGCTCTCTCTCCATATCCCTCATAAGGTCCAGGTATTTACGGTGAAGTTCTGCTAGAGCTCGCCCCAGGTCATCCTGATCACTGAACGGTTCACGGACAGCACTTCGTCTCCTGTTGATATCATTTCTTAGTTCACCGAGCCTCTCCAATACTTCTTCTTTGTCAAGTAAGTTGTCAAGACCGCTCAGTTCATCTTCTGCGTCTCTCAAGCGCTGGGCAAGAGACGCATTGTCCGCCTGGTAAGAATAATATACACCAACCGTGAAACAAACCTTTGGATAAATATAATGGAGCAATTTTCAATTCACTGACGAAAGTAAAACGAGTATTTACGAAGGTTTTGGTTTACTCCATTTGCTGTGGTTTCCGTTGCAACTCTTATCTTGAGACTTTCTAGAATTCGACAGCCATACACATTCGCCTGCCACTTACACGAAATTAGGATCATTTGCCCTAAAAGCATGTCGCGCACACAGGCAGGCACACGATCGACAATTTGATACAATTCGGGCTGTCTAAGTGACATGTCACATATATTGCACTTGTGTTATACATTGCAAGGAAAACTTAACGCAGTATAAAATCGTTCCCACATACACACCGATAAATTTTCAATTTGTGCAGCCAAATCTTTCACTTGTCTGTCCTTATCTCCGGCATTCCTTGCAGCTTGTAAAGCTCTGTCAACCTTCTCTTGTTCTTTCTTTAACCTGTCGTCTGCAGCTCTGCGATCATCCTTCAAAATAACCGAACAAAAGCAATCAATCCCTCACCACCCGGCAAAATAGATTCAGTGTTATAAGCGTCATTAAGTTATTCGATCCCTAATTGGTACGGGGCAAAACAACAAAAAGTGACATAGCTCATTCCTGTTCACTTTAAAATTAAAAAATGTTATTTCAGTGGTGTAAAAATGGATTACCCGATAAAAATTTTGTTCGGCAAAAAAAGTAAGATTAAAACATTAAACGACTGCTTCATATTTTATGAAAATTAGCTAACGCAATTGAATTTAGCAGATAGCTAAGACAAAGTGATATGCACCTGTAGTTGTTGTTTTAGCTTATTTAGTGCATTCTGTAGCCGGGCGACTTCTGCTTCTGCTTGCTGCAGTCTGTTTTTTGTTTCAGTGAACATTGGCTCCAGAGTAGATCCTTGGGCTGCCTGTGATTCAGCACTGGATAATCGCCGGCGCAAAGCCTCACAGTTCTTTCTCTCTCGTTCCAATGCATCCTCAGTCACTTGAGGGAGAAAAGAAAAAACACAATGGTGATATCTGTGTATGATGTATTACCAAGAAATATGCGGACTATGTCAATGTTTCAGTAGTATCCCAATATCGAGAATGTTCAGAAGAACAGAAACTCTAATACGTTTTCGTACAGGCTCCATCTTCAAGGTTTATCAACACTACAGTTGAGATTCCTCTTCAGTTAATTCAAACAAGGCAGAACCGCACTCGTCCGGTAAAAAATAAATTAACAAATCTTACAGACAGACAAAAAAAAAACAAAAACAAAAACAACCAACATCTTTACGAATGTAACACAAGGAGTCAGTAAGGCCTCAACTTAAGACAACATTAATTACTCAAAGGAGAAAAGTTGCAGAGACCAAGTCCCGATGGGTTTTAGTTTTGCATCTGATTGGCTGAATGAATGGCGCGAACTTCCTGTGTAGGCCAACAGAGAACGTGTAGACAAAAACAGAATGAATCCTGAAGTACGTTCAATGCCCAGTTGGAAATTGCTCAAGGAAACAAGTACGTAGATCAAAGAGTTTACGGTGCTTTAACGCTCACATTTCAGTTGTTGCTGTAGTTTAGCCAGGTTATCTTTCAGTAGTTTGTTGTTAGCCGCTTGTCCTTGCATGTCCCTCAATCGCTGTCCCAGTGCATCCTTCTCACGTTGAAGCTGGCTGATCTGTTTCGCTTGCTGAGCGACTTGCTGCTTCATAGAGTTCAAGTTGTCATTCAAATCATCGATGATGTTCTTCAGTTCTTCTTTTAGCTTACCTTGGTCACCATTCTCTCTTCCTGTGATAACAAAGAGAGCAATTGTGACGGAAACGATATGAATGCCAGTTACAATGTCAAACAGGTAATTTAGTGTTGACAACTGAGTTGAAAACGTAAACTAGCCACCTTAAAGAGTAAAAAAGCTGACTTTTCGAGCGTTAGCCCTTCGTCAGAGCGATTGATCAAAGGGCTAACGCTCGAAACGTCAGCTTTTTTACTCTTTAAGGTGGCTAGTTTACGTTTTCAACTCGGTTGTTACCACTAAATTACCTGCTATACTCTCCCACCGACGCAACGCCACAGTTTCTTTAGAAACTTACCCCCTTTATTCACAATGTCAAACAGTCTGCTGTAAATCCCATGAAATGACGGCAGTTATAAAAATAACTGCTACTGTTGCCAATGTGTTCCACTTTCAAGGAATCAAAACGACTGACTTAGCCTGAAAGGCATTTTCGAGTTTCTTCTCCGTTTAACGATGTAAGCTTCACTTGCCCGTGAACAAGTGAGTCTTTGAAGAATTTCCCAACAAACTAACACGCTGAAATAATTGGGAACTACTGTACGTCTACTGCTCACGCGTACTGCAGTATCTTCATGCGCGTCAAATATTCCGCAAAAAAAAAAAAAATGGATAAATTTTTCCTAACATCGATTGATTCATCTGGCTTTGTTTCATCTATAAAGCATCTGTAAGGTAAATAGCTGGAAAGATCAATTATTCTTGTTTGCCAAACGCGTGAACATGGTCCACAATTTCTGTAATGATTTAAAATCTCATCATAACACGTCTTGGATATGAACATAATACATATCTATACAACGCTCTTACTCAGTGCAGCCAACTGTGCTTCTAGCTGTTTGACAGCAGCTATCTCTTCCTGTAATCTTTCCCTCGCTCTGTCATTGTCTTGTTTCAGTTTGCTATATTCATCTTTCAACTCAAGTAACTGCTTCTCTTTTGCCGCCAAACGAGCCTGAAGGTGAGACTAGAGAGAGAAAAAAAACGGGTTTATTTAGAAGTTTATATATCTGTCAAAACAGAATCTTGAACAATTCAGTGGACTTCACTGGCTCACTTTTGCATGACTGTGCTCTGCGATTTGTCTAAGAAACTCGTACCATCGTCTTGACCAATCAGATACAAGTGAAAAGTCACTCGTGAATTGTTCACCAACGTCCTCCCGTCCCTCCCTTGGGCCTTTTTACTGCTCTTAATAAAAACATTTTGATGTTGCTCTTCATGTCGTATTCAATGCACACTCGTAAGGCAAATCAAACAAGTGTTTTCATATAAGCATATGTACGTACGTATGCAGGGTCACTGGGGGGCGTATTTCTGATGGTCTGTCTCAGCTTCTCGGTCTCAGCCTCTCTCTGTTTCAATTCATCTGATATGTTTTTCAAGCGCTCCTCCAACTCTTTCGCGACTTCTTGAAGTTGTCGTATCTGTAAAAGTAAGAATACCTCGCAAAGGACGTTCTCGTAGTAAAGAAGTTCAAAGAAAGGCCTGAAGTAAACAATTGTTCACTTACATAGTTTTTCTTATCTGCAATAGCATCAATAAGTTTTCTTTCTTCATCTCCTAACAAATGTGCCTGGAGAGATCAGAGAGGAGATAGAAAGTCCACTTTACTTTTTTGGTTGATTTTCTTTGTATTGCTTAGCAGCAGCTATCTACTAAGAGTCAAACCTGATCATTGATGGCCTGTTGAAGCATTGTAAGCTTATCTCCTGCATCCCTTAGCTGAGCTTTTCTCCTGTTTAGCTGATCAGTCAACTGCGCAAGAACATCCTCGGCTGTCAAAGTAATCAACATTTGATGAACTGATGGGGCATAATCAATATCACCCAATTTCACGTGTCATTTCCTTGCTCTTTGCATTTCTTGATATAAATTCCATTTTTGGTAAAGTGAATAAAGCTGTTATCCGTGAAAAGGTGTGATATTCAAAGAGCTGTTGTAGATACAGTAAGTTTTATAAGACTATCACAAGACGAGTTTACTCATTTGCCAGAGAAGTGCGCCCTGGGGATTCGAACCTAATCCTAATGTTGCTACCAACTCATCAACATTAACCAACCAGTAGACTTGGTTCATAGGCAACAGGTACTTCTCTGGGGGCACATAAACTATGCATCTGAAATTTTGTACGAGTGTGTCTGTGTTAGCAAGAAATACTTGTTTCCTTAAAATTCTTCTACACTGAGATATCTTGCACCTGTCCCTTAAGTACCACAGCATCTAAAGTACAAATAGAGGTGTTTCTAGAAGGTGGGGGCTGACTGTCGCTGTATATGATAATAATTTCAGGATATAAAATCCAGTACAAATCCAGTTCCCTGGGTTTGCATTAATTGAACTGTCAACATGTCTGTCAGGTTTAAAATATAAACCTTGTTTTATTGCTCTCTCTTTGTCTTCCAAATCTTGCACCAAAGCATCATGTATTTCTTGCTGAACCTGCTTATTCTGGTCATCATACTTATCACTTGGTCTTGAGTGTAGCGTTGTCATCTGGGCATGCTGTTCACCACTCATAATATCGGTTTTCCTGGCAAATTTGTTTGGTTTAAACCGAGCTTTCCCAATGTATGGGCTTTCATCTTCTTCACCATCTCCAAACTTAAGGGGAAAAATTGAGAAATGAATCAGAAACTGTCACCTTGGAATAACTTTGTAAACACAGACAGCGCTTGGGCCACAAGACCTTTCTGGCCTGCCATACCTCAACTCCCTCTGGGAGTGGCAGCATCCCAAGGTGTTCAAACTTGGCATCCAACTTATAAAATGCAAGTTCCTGTTCCAACTTGAACTGCTTTTCACAAGCTTTTGAAAGTTCAGAGGTCTTGCTGGCTAACTAAAAACAAAAGAGGAAAGACAAAACAGATAAGAAAACCAAAGAAGCTTGTTCTCTCCAAATAAAACCTTGGATCAAAATTATGTATGCTAGATATTTGGTGTAAACTCTTTCAGAATGTGAGATTTATTTGAATTGTGTCTCTCAGTGACAAATGGACAATTACAAACCAATTCTTCCTTGGCTTCAAGCTGTCTCTGATACTCTTTAATTTTCTGTGATTGATCCAAGTTGTGAGTTTTCTGTTCAGAGTTCAACTTCTTCAGCTGTTGTAACTCCTCAAGGGCTTGGCAATTTTCTTCCAAGAGTACTTCATATTCTTTTTTGTGCCTGTTGATTTCACCCTCCAGTCTTCTGACCTCCTCTAGGAAAGTACCGAAAAAAACAAAGAATCCATTTATAAAAAAAGACAAAAGAAAAACTCTAACAAATACAAATTATAGGCATGTAAGTATCAACAGTATTGCCAGAGAGGATGCCTAGTCACCAGTGGACTGGACTCAAAACAGAAAGGTACAGTTCCTTGAACAAGACAATACACAGTGCCTCACACCACCCTGGAGTATAAACATGAACCCAAAAAACATAACTTGAGCATAAGATGGAAAAAATTCATACACTGTACAAGTAATATTCCATTAAAAAGGGGAGCAATTATTTCAGTTGCATGGCACAAGACAAGTTAGTTTCACGTGTAAAATAAAACTTTTTAGAATACATTTGCAGGTTATGTTCTAAAAACAAACCCTTGAAGTCAGACCATCACTCACCACATGAATTTATACACTGTACAGGATTATATGATAAAAGTTGACTAGCCATAATCAAACAAAACCTCCCACAAACAGAAACTTTGTGTCAGTCCCAGCACTTTGAACCCTTGAAATCAATTTAATCCTCTAACTCATATGTCTTTCCAAGATGGGCGCTTATTGCTTATTGCAATCAAGTTAACAATTTATAAGTAAACAGAATTACCTTGAGCATATCGTTTGTCAGCCATTTGTCTGTCTTCATCAGAAATCTTCTTTCCATCTAAATAATTCAGAGACCTCAGCTGAAAAATCACAAACAAATGACTGTGTTCCATGTCTGCCATTGGATTGCCTTCCATGGAAAAATTGTTCAGATCTTGAAGAGGCCTCAGTTTGGTAACCTCAACATGCTATACAGTAGGATAAAACAGGGCAAAAAGTCAGTTGAAATAATAGGGTAATTGCTGGGTGTAAGCACTACCTACAGTATCTCTGGATCAAGCACTCTAGAAGTAAATCCTAGTGTGTGAATACCTACAGTTACTTTCAGTAGAAATTTATGTGGGAAGGGGGGGGGGGAAGAGAGATATTGGTGTTGGTCAAACCCTAGACTTGTGCTATCCTCTAACTTCATGGAGGTTCATAGGAAATTTTCCTGAATACTCTCTTTGTCTTATGTTAGAACAATTGGTGATATCTGGACATTATCTAGGATGGAAATGGAGAACTGGAGAGATAACCTGAGAGGGTCATAATATAGTTTTACTTACACCACATTTATTTTGGAAGTGAACAGTTACTGCCTGTGACTAAACTTGATAAACTAAACACATTTTGAGGTACAGCATTGCATAATGATTGAGACACAAGTGGTTCCCCAGTCCTGGTCTGGGTTATCGGGCAGATTAGTCACCCAGTGTGGGCAGAGTTTTCAATATTTCTTATGAAGCCTGGTTTCCAATTAGTAGAATCATATTCTGTGAGAAATTGCAGACAATGAAAAGGAGAAATACATATGGTCTCAACATCAAGTTAATGAAGGGTCCAATACTACTTACACTTGCAAGTCTGTTATTTGCGATATGAAAAGCCTGTAGTTCTCTAAGCTTCTTGAAAACAGGAGCTGGTAAAGTTTCAATCAAGTTCCCATTTAGATTCAAAACAGTCAGATGTACCAGACAGTCAACACCTTCTATCTTTGAAATACAGTTGTTGGCCAAGTGAAGTTCTCTGAGAGGCGTTAAATGATCCAGCTTTTCTATCTTTTCAATCATGTGGTTGTTCAGGTTCAAATAAATAAGTTTCCTAAGACTTTCCAAGTTTTCAATGTACTGAATAGAAACAAAAAGGTATACAGCTAATTATTTCATACTTTTTATTAGTTTTGTTGTATTCTGTCAAGTCACTATTTCAATTAAAGTTCTGCATTAGGTTATCTCTAGGAAAAAAACTGCATAAACACTCATGTGTCTTTTGGGATCTTTGTAATATTCTATCAGCTAGGACCTAATTTAGAAGATCTTTAATTCAAGAGACACTGTACAACCACAAGCACATGTTAACACATACACGTACACTGAGACACTCAGAATAACTAAACCCTTCAACCTCTAAGGGTGACTGGCATCTAGTTTTTCCTTACAAAATGCACATTAAGGTCATGGAAACAAAGGAAATTAACACCATGCAGAAAAAGAAGCTCTTGATTGCTTAACAAATTCTCCCTGTCAGCACCTTAGAAAATGTATAGAGAACAGTATGGAGAGTATAGATACTGATGTTAGGGTATAAAGGATTAAAGCATATCAGAAGGAAGAAAGGATTTTAAAGAAGATTGAAAGTGCTCTAGTATGCTGATTTTTTTTACATATGATTTTTTCAGATATATACCTTAATTTTCTTGTTGAGGTCCTTTCCTAATGTTACATGTAAAGATGTTACTTGGGAAATATTCTCTTCTTTTGTTAATCTCTTGATCAGGTTCTCTGTTAAATAAGCCACACCAGATTTGGATTGGCTCGTCACATCCCTGGTTGGAGGCTCCTCAGGATCTGAAATAGATGTGATAAAAATACATTTTTCTTCCTTCATACTGACCCACTAAAAATAAGGATAAGTGCAGTTGTTTGCCCTTATCCTGTCCAACAATAAACAAAAATATAAACTAGAAAATCAGTTTGCAAAAACACATGATCAATCAGTCAATTAAACCAGCCAACCAAACCTATACAAGAAATTAATTACACAATCTGTAGGGAAAGTCAACTGGCTTCAAAAAGTTAAGTCTAATTGGATTTTTAGATGCTCAATTATTTCTTCAGAAGGGGCATAAATTTGACAACACCTCTTAAAGATTGGATCTCCTGGAGATACTGCTTATTAGCCAGGGGTTTCAATAACTTTTTCATACAGGGCTGCCATCGGTGAAATGGTGGGCAGCTGTGCAGGGAAAAACCCTAACACAAGAGCCAAAACAAACGGTGATTAGAGGTCTCATGAGTGACAATAAACTGCCAGCAACCGGCATTTATTGAAACGTCTGCTAAAGTATTAAGCACTGTTTGTGTCTACGTGGGTTTTATTTCTTTCCATTCCCATTTCCCACGTACTTTTCTAATTTTTCGCCATTGATTTTTTTATACTTTCAATACATGCCCAGAGGAGCATGGTAACAATGTAATTAAGTGTCATTTTTTCTCAGAAGCCACTACAAAAATCAACAGCAGTAATTAGTAAGCTAAGAAAAAACGGACTGGTAGTTTTAAAAAGGAATTTTCAATATCTAGGCGACCACTTAACCACGTTTGATCGACTCTTGATGATTTATCTTCTACGACATTCTCACTAAGATAAATCCCTTAGCTTCACTTAAATAATAACTTAACTCAAATTACAAATGTAGGACAATTATATCACAAGAAAATAGTGTTCGCCGCTGTGCTTATTCCATGCGCAGCCGAAGACTTCATAGCAAAATAATACACAGTATGATAGTGAACACTTCTCGTGATTACTTATAAACGGGTGGATAATAAGTAAAAACACACAAGTTGAGATTTAAAGTAAATACAAATCTTTTACTACATGGTGCATAAAAGAGCCCCTCACCTGGTACATATGCACTAAGCACGTCCATCTCACCCACCGCTTCCTCTTGTTTGTCATGCCTGGTGTAACTTCTTCCACTATTCACGGGCATTTTTGGGTTTTGTCCATTAGGAGATGGTAGCTTGCGACCTTTAGATGACTTTGGAGTAGAATCCATACTTTCCAGAGTTTTCATGGAAAGCGACGCCGAAACAGAGCACGTTGCCAAGGGGCTGTCAAGAATCAAAAGGTTGGTTATCTCTTTTCGACACAGAAGTCATCGATTTGCTGCCATGTACTTGTGTGAGAGAGAAGTTGTTTTCAAAATCTTCTAGCTAAACAGCTGAAGATCGCGGCGAAACAACGCCAAGTAGTTGTCAACAAAATGAAATATTCATCCGCGGAGTGTCAAGTGAGCATCAACTATCCAATGCGCTGCGCGGGTTTTTCAAATATCATTACAATACAAATTTCTTGATCTTCACGATCCAGTACTGTTTTATGCCAGAATACAGCTTATCAATCCATTTTACCTTTCAAAATGACCAATTTGTATCTAAGGGATCGCTAACAAGCGTCGATGGGCAGCGGTAGACTGAGACAATCCTGTCTAGGGAGGGGAAGGGAGATAAGTCGCCATCCGATGTTGAAATTAAAATCATTATAATTAATAATAATCAAACAAAGGACGATAGAGATCAAATTTTGAATAGTTTTTTTTTTCAGGACCATTCTGATATACATCATTCCAACAGGGAAGGGCAGTGGTTTATTTTTTTTTCTCAAGGCTTGTCAATGTTTACTTTTAATAAATACAGTAGCAAGCTTGCCATAAACCAACATTCACATAAATAAACAAAAAACCGACAACAGCAACTGAAAGCACACTCATAAAACATCAGACATTTCACTCTAAAGTAACAAGTTTTTATTCTCCTATTACAATACAGCTTTTTAAAAGAGAAAAGAAAAAACCACTTTAGTTAAACATCCTTCACGCTGATCATGTTTGATGACTAAATATCATGACTTCAGGGATATTTCCAGACAATGGATGGTATTCCAGGCAGATCAAATCCCACTTAGTCATAAGCACTGATAGATTTGCATTCAGCACTTGTAAAAGAACTTGAGGGGTTTCGTTATCTCTTCTTTTTTGCCCTTTTGCCTTCACCTGCAAACATCAAAAGCAATGACAAAAAAAAAATGCTGGTTATGATAATATGTATAAAATTGAGCTGAAGCCAAAACGCATTTCGGTTTATGGTCATAACTTACATAACATAAATACAAAGTGAGAGGTGTCAAGAGAAACTTGATGCATTTATTTTTTTAATCCTCTAGAAGTACTACTCACCTTTTTTAGGAGGACCTTTTCCTCTTGCTTTCCGTTTTGCTGCCATTTCTTCTTGGAAATTCTAGCAAAATATCAATAAACACGATCTTCAAATCTAGCTGGCTTTTTGATCAGACAAAAGGGAATTTCTCTTGTAGGATTTTAGCACCACCTCAACTATCTCCCTCCATCGGCCTCAATAATGACAAATATTTAGAACATTTTCCATTGAAGTTCACTATTCATGGTGCTGTAAATAATCTTCACAAGGAAGGGTAGATCTTGATTTTAAACTTACCAGATACTGATCGCTATAAAATCCATAATGTCTGAGTCTAAAAAGGAGACTTTGGAACTTCTTTATAGGGGGATAATAAGTAGTAAGGCTATCTGCCAAGGGTTTCTGGGCAAAATGTTCCACAATTTTGTAGGATCTAAACAGAAAAAAAGCAACGGTTGTATTTCAGCCTCTTTCAAATGCCAACGATGCAAAAGTATGTTGGGACAAACTTAACTTACTTTGGAGTTACTTGACGGGTCAATTCACCAAAAATCCTAGCTCTCAATAGAGCCATTTTTCTTACGTATTTCACACTCATATTGATTTAAAATTCAGAGGCAAATCTCGTAAAAATATTCTCTTGCAACGAGCGTTCGAGGGTGCCATACTCATTCTAGAAGGCCGCCATGTTATTGGAAGAGCGAACCTGGATCGAGAGCTTAGTAGCCTGGTCAACAAATTCAATATGTCCGCCGAAGAGGTCATAGTAACAGGTGACGATTAGAGGAACGTACAAACAAAATGAGTGCAGCTAGGCCTTTAATACGAAATTCAGCCACATTAATTTTAGCTGCTAGAAACAGCCAACTTAAGAGCGCCTTTGACTGGAGGGTCTTGTTACTGGAAAGAGCCGCTAAAAGTGCATTTATGGTAAGCTTGTACAGGGTATAACCCCCGTAGCCCCTGTGACTCGTGCTAATTTTTGTCTCAGTTGTATCTACTATAAGCTGAATTTATGCTTCTCTAAACTCATTTTTTTCTTCTCCTTCATCTAAAGCCTAGTATGTATGTTTTCCCTGGTGGTGTAATCGACAAAGCTGACTTTTCTAATGACTGGATGGAACTATTTAAAGAGTCCTTCACCAAGTTTGGCACAAACTTCACATCCCTTGTTGATATTCAAGGACCACGCCCACCTGTGGTGAAGACATCTAGAGCTACAGGTTTACCAAGTGATATCGCGTTAAGAATTTGTGCCATCCGAGAGACATTTGAAGAGTCTGGCGTTCTTTTATTAAAGAGCTTCTCTTCTGATAAACAATACGAAAATCTTGAAATAGATAAAGTTCGAAATTGGAGGAAAGAAGTGCATGCAGATGCCTCCATGTTTTTCACTATGTGTAGGTAAGGATTGTGAAGAAATGAAACTGCGTAAACGTTTCAGGTTAAAAAATTTCTTGTAAATTTCTGGCAAGATTTAGATGGGTAAATTCCTCTAAGTTTGAACTGGTGTCATGCTTAGGACCACTGTTGGAAATTTTCCCCTTTCCAGGATTTTCCCATTTGTCTCTCTCTCTGCTCACTTTCTTCATATTCTCTTATCTCTATCTCTCTTCTCCTTAAAATGTTTAGGTTCTCTTTTTTCCTAAATTATCACTCTTTTATCTATTAATCCCACCAGGAAATTTAAATGTGTTCCTGATGTGTGGGCCCTGAGTGAGTGGTCAAACTGGCTGACACCTGCTCATTTACCCAGACGATACGACACAATGTTCTATATTGCCTTTCTTGATGAGGAACCATTAGCACTCCATGATGACAAGGAGATGACTCACTCAAAGGTGATTTACATGTGAGACCTTTCTTCCAACCTTTCCACACACAAATTGATATGATTGAATTGTCTCCTTATTTACAAATCTTGAAATTTTCTGCTTTTATAAGAACTCTTGACCTTGTAAAAGGATCATAGTGTGTTGTCTTCACATGTGAAACCACAATACTACTCTGACTCAGGATGATCAAAAAAGCAGAACAAAGAAAAAAATTGAATGAAGATAAAAGACTGATAAAAATTAAGAAGCAATGATGACGGTATGATTAAGTCTTGCATAGGATGCACCCACTAGGATGCTTATTGGTCAAAATCTGCAAGCAATATAAATGCCCAGAGATGATGCACTAAAAATGTGGTGTTTAAGGTGCCTTATCTCAATACATTACCATTGAAAGCTCAAGATAAAATGTTGACATGATGTTGTTATTTTTCTTAATGTTTTTAGTAAACAATATATAAATTTTTTTAACAGTGGATGATTCCAGCTGAAGCTGCTGCAAAGTTTAGGGCGCGCAAGATCAAGATTGGATTCCCTCAAGTTTATGAGCTGTTAAGGTTTTGTCGGTAAGCGTAGTTTGTCAGAAAAATATTGATCTTTCAATGGCCTTTTAAATTGACCCCATTGTCAACTTCATGACCATCAGCAAATAACTCAAACCAAACACAAAATGACTTTATGCAGATTTCCAAAGTGGGAGGACTTTCAATCTTTTCAGCAAAACCGTGCTTCAGATGGATGCGAACAATGGCTTACTATTGTAACACAGTGTGTTGACGGTACTCTGGTAAGGGAAATCTGTTTTCCTTTTTTCCTTTTTAATTAAACTAAAGAAAATCATATTTTTGAGTGCCAGGTGGTACCCACATTAAACCAGTTCCGAGTATGAGGTATAATAGCCTGAAGGTTTGTGCATTGCACTTTTTAAGTGTGTAGTATCTACTCAAGTGTATAGTTGGATTCATTTGGGAATATGTGTAAAAACTGTGCATAGTTTCAAAACGAAGTCTGTTCAGGTGGATCTGCATCACTTTGTTCATGTGTACTATCCCAGGTTTGTTTTTTGGAAACAGTATCATGACTGCTCATAGCTAATGCTGAAAAAACTTCAAGCAACCCACTTGTACCAAAATTTCAAAGGTCGTTGATTGTCCAAAACCCCAGTCTAAGTCAAAGTTCATTTGAGTTACCTTTTCCGTTGTTCATCAACTACTTAAGGTGATAAGTTTGATTAAAAAGCTGACATTTTGAGCATTATTCCTGTTTGACCCAAATTTTACTTTCTCGCTGGTGATGCACGGTAATTTAACTAGACAAAAATAAACTTGATCACTTTCACACGGATTATTTTACCATTTCAGGTTGTATTTCCACATGATGATCTTTATCCATCTTTGCAAAAGAGAGTCATGGAAGAATTAACCAAAAGTACAATGGGACAAATTTCACTTTTTAATCAATCAGAGACACTAGCGCAGTTAAATGCGAAGGGAACAAATTTTAATCGATTGTGCCTTGTGTCCGGTGTTCCATACAACTTGACGATTAATGTGCAACTTCCTCATGGACAGTGCTTACCAGTGGTGGATTTTGAAAGGATTAATGAACTTGCTGGAGACTCAGTTGAGTCACATCTCTGAACAC